CCTTCCTCCATCCCTTCCCTCAGCACACAGAAAGGGTTGGGCCTGCACCTTCGAATTGTCCAATTAGTGCTTAGGTCTGTTCCTCTGGACACTTTGACCCCCTACCTCTCTCTTCCCCTTCAAGTGTTCTCAGATCTTTCCCACCTCAAAAAAAGAAAAAGAAAAAGAAAAAAGGACAGGCCCTTCCTTGACCCTCTGTCCCCTGCAGCTACCTACCTACATTTTCTGGCTTTCACGGCCATTCATCCTTCCTCACCTCCCACTCCCTCACCTCCCACCTGTGACCTGTCTCGGCTCCTTCATGTCTCTCAGCCTCCCTGCCAACGCCAGTCTCACCCACTGTCTGTCACTCAGCCCAGTGGAAGCTCGGCAGGCCCTGGCTTGCACGACATGGAGCATAAGGATACATGGGCTTTCTTCTGGAAATTCTTGTTCATGCCACAGGTTCTTTCTTTGTTCCCAGCCACCCAGCCCTGTTCCGGTCCCTTTAAACTGGGGTTCTAAAGGTCACAGCAAGTCACATATTCTGGCTCCTTGTCTTCAGATAAAAGCCAATCAGATTTCGGTCATGTTTTCAAGGGTGTCTAAGAAAAGCGTGTAATGGCAAGACTTTGGGAGATGGTTGAAAAGCCTCATGCAAATCTCCCAGGCAGCGAGAGAGCCAACAGTAGCAGAGGAGCCGAGGCCAGCCGCAAGCAGAAGAGAGCTCCTAGACACTCTCCAGACCTGACTCAGATACCACTGTGACCTCAAGGGACCCTGCCCTCTCCGTGCTCCAACAAACCAATAAATTCTCCTTTGTGCAAAACACATCTCAGTTGTGTCTGTCATTTGTGGTTAAGAGTCTTGGCTGGGGAGGGGGAGCAGGGGGAGGCTAGAAGGAGGGCTCGGTGGTTAAGAGCACCACATGCTGCTCTTGCAGAGAACCTGATTTCAGTTCCCAGCACCCACACAGACAGCTCACAACCACCGGCAACTCCAGCTCAAGAGGAGCTGGTGCCCTTTTCTGTCCTCTGTGGGCACCTACATACACACGCTCACACATGCACGCGCACACACAAGTAAATAAATAAATAAATAAATAAATAAATAAATAAATAAATAAATAAATAAGTACTAAATCAATGCTTCTTTAAAGTCCTCAGTAAGAGGCTGGGAATTATAACTCAGTTGGCAGAGCACTTCCCTAGCATGCAGAGAGCCCTGAGTTCAATCCCCACCACCAGAGAAACCCAGCACGGCTTTTGGCAACTGTCATCTCAGCACTTAGGAGAAGATGGAGGCAGGAAGTTTAGGGGTTTAAGGTCATTCTCAATTACATATTGTGTTCAAGGCCGACCTGGGATACATATAAGACCCTATAACAGAAGCTGGGGGGATGGCTCATTAAGTAAGAGCCTGCCGCACCAACGAGAAGACTTGCGTTTGGGCCCCGGCACCCACAGGTATGAAGTAATGGGTCACTAAATGAAACCCTCATTGCCAAATGCAGGGCTCTTCCATGGGAGTTGTTGGTCAGGGAGGACCCCGAAGCCTCCAAACAGTGCAGGCTCTTGTCATTGCTCCCGGCTGCCCACGAAAGCCAGGGTCTATTGCTGACTTGATAAGACCCTGTTTCTGAAGATATGGAAGGTGCAGGATACAGAGAAATCAAGCCGGCCCTGATCTGGAAGCTTCCAGCCACTGGCTTTCACAGTGTCAGGTGGGACTCCGTGGGATGCTGGGGGATAAAGGCACCAACACTTTTATGAAGCTGTGACACTCCATGAGATACACTAACCAGCCAAGCAAGATGTGCCTGCTGGTGCAACAGCCACGTGAGTGTTGTAGGGGTGACCGGCCACTGCCACGACCGGATCTCCACGCCACAGAAAGAAATCCATGCTTGTAATGCAAGCCCAGTCAAATGTCCGTGACTGAAAAGGTCTTAGGTCCTAGGAGGGAGCCTACCGCGGCTGCCTATCCTAAATCGCCATAGTATCAGAGCATCTTCTAAATATCTATGATTATGTCCACAGACCCAGGCGGGTCTCCACTTTACTCGGAGAAACCTCTCTTCGCAGTGAGTGGGCGAATGCAGTAACCCATGGCTACACAAGATGCTGAGAATGAAGGATGGTTGAGGGCCCAGTCCTAAATGAGACATGTAGAGCATCTGCTTAAGCCTCAGGGAGCTCTTCAGAAGAGAGGCCACAGAGAATGCAGGAGCTGGGAAACAGGAAAACACCAGCATGATGCGGCTATGACAGTAATGAGGAACTCCCTAAGCCATGCCTACCGGCCCTTGACCTACACAAATCAGGCCCGCTCAACAGTCAGGCCGCAGAGCACTACCACTTACTGCTGATCTATTGATCCACATGATCTATTGATCTATTAGGAGAGGGGGAGACACGGTATCTAGTTGTGTACACACTGCTGAGCCCTCCAGGTCTAAGGAACAGTTCCAAACCCAAGGGTGCACAGATGGCCCTAATCAAACTCTGTGGAACACAAAATAAAACCGAAAGCCATAAATACGGGAAAGTGTAGCACAAATTGTTAGAAGGTCTTATTAATAAACTCAAACCCAGAGCCAGGTATTGGGGTGAACACTGAAAGATCAGAGAAGCGGAACAGGCCACAGCTACCTCACCTCACCAATTCCTCAGCTGGTCCTGTTTCCTCGGACTAGATGCCTCTCAGCTGAACTGTGCTGCTCAAAAGCCTAAAAGCTTAACCAGGCTCTAGTTCCTCATCCTCACGCCTTATATACCTTTCTGCTTCCTGACATCACTTCCTGGGATTAAAGATGTGAGTCACCATGCCTGGCTGTTTCCAGTGTGGCTTTGAACTCACAGAGATCCGGATGGATCTCTATCTCTGACTCCAAAAGGCTAGGATTAAAGGTGTGTGTGCCACCATTTTCTGGCCTCTGTATCTAGTGGCTGTTCTGTCCTCTGAGCCCAGATAAGTTTACTAGGGTGCACAATATATTGGGGAACACAATACCACCACAGGAAAGAGGTTTGTAAGGAAGAAGCGGGGCTGGGAGGGGCGGGAGGGAGATGGGGGAAGCTATGGGTGAGAGCGATAAGAATACATTACATACATGTACGTACGTTTATGTGTACGAGTATACACGAAATTGTTAAAGAACAGGTATTATTAAAAACAACACTTAAAAAAAAAAAAACAGGCATGGGCCTGGAGAGATAGCTCAGTGGATAAACCCACAGGCTGCTCTTCCTGAAGACCTGAGTTCAGTTCCCAGCACCCGTGTTGGGCCTCCCATAACCACCCGTCACTCCAGCTGCAGAGGAATCCATCATCTCTGGCCCCTGTAGACCGCATTCAAGTGCTCGAGCCCACTCACAGATACACATACAATAAAATAAATGGGGTCTTTTTTATTATTAAAAATAGGCGTGGTCAGACATGCACTTGTAACACCAGGGCTGTGATGAATCCCTGGGGCTTGCTGGCCCCCAGCCTAGCTCCAGGTTGAGAAGAAAACCTATCAGAGAGGGATAGAACAGACAACTGACAGACATTCTCATGTGGCCTCATCATGCACCCAAGAGACCACACACACACTCACATGTGCACTTGAATACACTTGAATACACACACACACACACACACACACACACGCACACGCACACGCACACATACATGTGCACACACACATGCACACTCGAGCACACATGTGTACACACACACTAACATGCGCACTCGAGCACACACACATTCACACACATACACGTCAGCCAGGCTTCTTCCTATGACCTCACTCACCCAGCTCTACCATTGCTCTGCATCAAGACTCTGAGCTCTGTCCCTGGTCCCTGGGTCACGCTCTCCTTGCCTGTGAGCTTGATTTCCTTGACTTTCATCAGGACACTTGACTCTCAAAACCATACTTCCATCTTCTCCGTTTTTTGAATTTTTCATTTTGATAGAATACACATAAATATAAAAAAAAAACTACCCCCGTGACTCTTTCAGGCTCCATTAATTACACTCCCAGTGCTGTGCAGCCACCTGTGGTGGTATTGTGTTCCCCAAAATATTGTGCACCCTAATAAACTTATCTGGGGTCAGAGAACAGAACAGCCACAATATTAAACAAAGAGGATAGGCAGTGGTAGTACACGCCTTTAATCCTATCACTTGGGAGGCAGAAATCCATCCGGATCTCTGTGAGTTTAAAGCCACACTGGAAACAACCAGGCATGGTGACTCATGCCTTTAATCCCAGGAAGTGATGGCAGAAAGAAGGTATACAAGGCGTGAAAACCAGGAACTAGCCTGGTTAAGCTTTTAGGCTTTGAGCAGCACAGTTCAACTGAGATCCATTTGGATGAGGACTCAGAAGCTTCCAGTCTGAGGAAACAGGATCAGCTGAGGAATTGGCGAGGGGAGGTGGCTGTGGCTTGTTCTGCTTCTCTGATCTTCCAGCATTCACCCCAATACCTGGCCCCAGGTTTGATTTTATTAATAAGACTCTTTAAGATTCCTGCTACAGCCACCACCACTATTAACACCAGAACAGTTTCATCACACCTAACAGAAACTCCTACCCATTAATCACTGAACCCCCTTCACCCCTCAGCCCATCCACTGGTCACCTCTAATCTAGCCCCTGTGTCTACAGGTTTGCCTGCACTTGACATTTTATGCAAGTGGGACCACACAATGCGTGTCTTCCGATGGGTCCATTTGACTTAGGGCCTAAGTCTTAGGCAATGCCTCCAAGATTCGTCCACACTTGATGAATGTAGCCCCATTCCCTCAGCACTGTTGAATAAAATTACATTGTAAACCAGCAGTGGTAGCTCTTCAAACCTGTAATCCCAGCACTCAAGAGGCCACGGCAAGACTGATCTCTGGTCCAGATGAGTCTGGGTTACACAATGAAATCCAGTTTCAAAAAAAAAAAAAAAATCATTGCCTGTTTGTACCACATTTTGTTTCTTTACCCATTCACCCATTGGTAGACATTTGGATCATGTTCACTGTTTGGCTATTATGAGCAGCATGGCTGTGAAGATTCCCATACAAGGGTTGGTTTGCATCCCTAGGTTCCATTCTCTGGGGCATATACCTAGGAGTGGATTTGCTGGATCATGTGGGAAGTCTGTTTACCTTTGGAGGGGCTGCCAAATTGTCTTCCACAAACACTGCACCATTTTATATTTCCACCAGCCCACCAGCGATGCAGGACAGTTTCCCCACCCAGAGGCCTGGCCTATCCCTGCAGCTGCCTCTGAATGTTCCCACACAGGTGTCCTGCAGGGAGTTCAGACCCAGCAGCAGCAAAGGAAGACTTGGCTGTATTGAAATTCGCCAGTCTTGAGCCAAATCCCATGTCAGATGGGGGTGTCTGGGGATTAAGGGTAACTAGGGGTGTGGGTAGGATTGGGGTGAAGTGCCTATTGTGTGCTTGCATCATTATACAAAGTGATCTTTTCAAGGCTATGTCAGAACACCCCAGTGTCCTGTTCAAAACCGCCGTGCTAAGCCTGGCCTTTTCATGGGTGGCCCAGTCATCATGCTTGAGCAGCATGTGTTCTTACCTGTTTGCCACCTGCCCAGCCTCCAACACAATACAGCTTTTTAATACAAGAGTGTCCTATGCCTCGGCTGGAATTCATATTTAGTTTGATGTCTTGATTTTTGCCTGGTTTTGCTTTGTTGTTGCTGCTGCTGTTGTTTTTGTTTTTGCTTCTAAATCTGGCAATCTTAATAAGTAAAGGACTGAGCCAGATGTAGTGGCACACTCCTTTAATCCCAGTACTTGGAAGACAGACACATGTGGATCTCTGTGAATTTAAGGCCAGTCTAGTCTACATAGAGAATTCCTGGACAGCAAGAGCTACATGGTAAGACCCTGTCTCAGAGTTT